AAACTACTTTTACACTGTATAGTAGAATATAAAACTACTTTTACACTGGTGGTAGAATATCAAACTACTTTTACACTGGTGGTAGAATAGAAAACTACTTTTACACTAGTGGTAGAATATTAAACTACTTTTATACTGGTGGTAGAATAGAAAACTACTTTTACACTAATGGTAGAATAGAAAACTACTTTTACACTGGTGGTAAAATATTAAACTACTTTTACACTGGAGGTAGAATATTAAACTACTTTTACACTGATAGCTGAATATAAAACTACTTTTACACTGATGGTAGAATATTAAACTACTTTTACACTGATAGTAGAATATAAAACTACTTTTACACTGGTGGTAGAATATAAAACTACTTTTGCACTGGTGGTAGAATAGAAAACTACTTTTACACTGGTAGTAGAATAGAAAACTACTTTTACACTGGTGGTAGAATATTAAACTACTTTTACGCTGGTGGTAGAATAGAAAACTCCTTTGACACTGATAGTAGAATATAAAACTACTTTTACACTGATGGTAGAATAGAAAACAGCACTTTTACACCGGTGTTTTTGTTTGAATCGTATCATCCACAGATATTTTGTGCAACATTTGTATTAAGCATATTTTCTGTAAGAGTGGTATTTTGAATTTCAAATTTTTAGTTTCTCTTCTGGATTCTAACGATGCCTTGAAAGAGTTATACCGGAAGAGGGCGCTGCCGCAAGTCCGAACATTCCATGTGCCCATTGAAGGAGGATTTAGTAAGTATATTTTAAAATTAACGATATTTTTTTAGGGTTATTGTATTTGTTGATATACTGAAGATATTTACAGAATAATTGATACAAGATTCGTTATACATCAGATATAAACGTTTTGATAGTTTTAAACCTGAATAATTGAATCAGGATGGTTTTCTATGTATGTGTGTGTGTTGAGGTGTTTCATTCTACAAGGGCCTAGTGTGTGTTGAGGTGTTTCATTCTACAAGGGCCTAGATGTGGCCAAACAGTCTGTAATCTGAATGTACAAGGTTCGAGTCGCGCTATGGCTCTGGTCATCATCCTGTTCACTTTTTGCACCTTTAGCCTAATAGCTGTGAAAGTCAATCCAAGGGCTTATTAACACCAGTAGGCTTTCAAGGCTTGAGCTTAAAAGCAACAATTTGAAGGGCGCATTCTAGGGATAATATTTTTTTTATAATTTTTCTAAATTATGTATATATGTGTGTGTGAGTGTGTGTGTGTGCGTGCGTGAAATTTGTTTCCCTAAGCTACACCCCCTAAATCCAGGTGAGTCATTCAAGAAGGAAGGGGAGCATCTAACATTAAGGGCCTAGAGCCCCAGTTAATCTTAATACCCCCTGAGTCAATTCTCCTATTCAGTTGAGATAGCCACATAGGCTACTGAAAACGTTGCTTTAAAGAAATGTTTCATGTGGATTCACACAAAGTTCGTTTTCTCTAACATATTTCACAACAGTTTAAATTACAAACATTATCTAGCTGACATAAATGAGAGATCCATTACATATACCATTTATTTAAGTTTGTTCACATAATTCGGCACACCTATAACTATTACATGTTCTTAGCGTGGTACCATTTAAACAGACACAAATTAATCATATTGTTTCATTACGTCTAAGAAATAAATTTCTAAAAACATGTTTTCTTTGCAGGAGGTTTCAGATGTAAAATGTAAATTTCATATTTTATTGTATCTAATTAATGGTTTGTTTGTAGAGGCAAATGTACGTCTTCTCCTACCACCTGGTTTACAAGATAACGAAATCACTCGTTATCCGATGATCGTATTCGTGTAAGTAAAAAAAAAAAATTCTGTTTTGTTGAACGTTACCATAATATCTTTTGTGATCTTTCCAAAATAAAATTTATGAGAAAACTCTTTAAAACCTTAAAGCAATAATGATTTGATTTCTACAAAATGTTCAGTACTGTTGATCCGTAGTTCCGTTACAATTAAGTGGTGTAGTCCAATGGAATTAAAAACTTGTAAAGAAATTTAGTAACTGATAGATGTGTTATACTGCGTTTCATAAGATATACGAATGTACAGAGGAGTCTACTACTCATCTCTATAACATTTAAGGTTAGACTAATCGTGCATGAGTGCCACATTGGAGATTAGCTAAGAAAACGTTGCTCACTAAGTAACAAAATACGATAGCAACGTCCTCTATTTATATTTTATCAAGAATGTTTTATTAATCACTCACAACAAGGTAAACAAATTTAAATACAAGATTTATTAAAGCACAGTCGAATAAAAATCAATTTTGATCACATGATGATAAAATGTATTTTATAATGTTTATAATAAAAAATTAAAGTTCCAGAAGTTATATATAATAAACCAAACAATTTGATTTGATCAGTCGTCAAAGGGAGTTCTATTTCCAATGGAGGGGAGTTCTGTATTAAATAGAGGAGACTTCTGTTTTAAATGTGGAGACATTCTATTTCAAATGGAGAGTTATGTATTAAATAAAAAATACTTCTGTTTTAAATGTGGAGACATTCTATTTTAAATGGAGAGACTTATGTATTAAATAAAAAAATACTTCTGTTTTTAATGTAGAGACGTTCTATTTTAAATGGAGGGGAGTTCTGTATTAAATAGAGGAGACTTCTGTTTTAAATATAGAGAAGTTTTATTTTATATGGAGGGAAGTTATATTTTTAATGGGGGAGTTATATTGGAAAAGGATGTATTTTTAATGATAGTAGGGCTCTGATCTATTCTTGTTAGAAATGTCTCTGTCACTGTGAGATAGACTGCACCTTATATTAAAACTCCAATTTCTGATAATATTGTTTCACATGAAGCTGTGTTGGTCGGGTGTGGCTTAGTGGTTAGAGTATAGGAACTGTGAATCAATGGATTCACGATTCACGCCCCGTTGCTGCGAAAAACATGCTCCGTGCCTCAGAATCATGGGTGCGCTATATGAATGATGGTCAAATGCCACTAATCGGTCAGATAAGAGTAGCACAAGAGTTAGCGGTGGGTTGTAATGACTATCTGCCTGTTCCCTCTAGCCTATCAGTTTAAATTTGGAACGTCTATACGCATAAATAAAAACTTAGTGTATGAATAAAAGTTAACATTAAATGTTTGTTTGATTTGAATTTAAACTGATAGACTAGAGGGAATAGGCAGCTAGTCATCACCACCCACCGCCAACTCTTGGGCTACTCTTTTACCAACGAATAGTGGGATTGACCGTCACATTATAACGCCACCACGGCTGAACTGGCCAGCAAGTTTGGTGGGACGGGGATTCGAACCCGCGACCCACAAATTGCGAGTCGAGCGCCCTAACCACCTGGCCATGCCGGGCCAGTTATCTAAGTAGTTTGACCACCTGTTCGCAGTGCACTTTAAATACTAGTATAAGTTTGTTTGTATTGGTTGATTTTCAAGATAATGTTTGATTTTCAAGAGAGTATGGGTGTCCTGGTTTTGTTTTTCAGATATTTCATTTAAAAACCAATGTCCTGTCTTGCCAATCTTACAACGTTTTACAGAAAACATAATCAACATTTAATAAAGGATTAGTTCTGAAAAATTCAAACTGTATGCCTAGAGCAAGAATTACTTTGGATAGGGATGGAGTTAACGCGCCAGTTGTGAGTAGGATGATCATCACTCACTTACTGTTTACTATCATAAAGCTAGTATCTCTGACTTAACTTGCAAATTTCTATTAATTATAATAGTTTGGTTTTGTGGTGAGAGGTCAAGACGATAAACATAGAGTGACGTCAGACATGAATCTTGATACCTGTAGACAGAGAGAGTTTTGGGATAACCCCCGGAAATATCTTCCGCCCCGGCAAAAAAAAAAGGAATAAAAAGATAAAAGAGGGGGAAGAGAGCAAGGACAAACGGAGTGCTCTGAATGGCAGCGTGTTTTTTTTTTTGTTTGTTTGTTTCTAGGCGTATTCCCCGAATCGAAATCCTGGTTACAGCCCTGTGAACCATCATCCTAATTGAATGCTATTTAGTCTAGCAGTTGTTATGGATCATTGTTGAATTTTTTTAAACGTTTCGTGCTTTATCTATAAACGCTCCCCCTCCCCCCAGTGGCACAGCAGTATGTCTGCCTACTTACACTGCTAGAAACCGGGTTTCGATATCCGTGGTGGGCAGAGAACAGATAGCCCATTGTGTAACTTTGTGCTTAACTACAAACAAACTAAATTATTTATAAATGATGTACAATCAACCTGTAATCGCCTTTCACGAGGTTTTATTTTGTCCAGATATTATAATCACCAATCACTGAACTCGTGCATCAAAAGCATGGAATTTTGCTTTAAATGAATTAATTTCACGAAACTAGCTATAACTTTATCAAATGTATCGTTTTCAAATGTGTGTAAACTGAAGACTATAAACCAGAATCTGAGGTACCCGTTCTTTGTCGAGGTTATGAACTTAACAAAATGTGGGGGGATTCTATGATAAATAACCCAAAAATCCTAACTTTCACACATGTTATTTATAACAAAACATATTATTACAGTATTAATCATTACCTCAATAAAAGTTTTGTATGAGCAGTAATAACTCACTATGTATATACTTAAAACATGGTATACACTGTGCGATGGTCAGGATGACTTTGTAGGAAGAGGTAGCAGCCAAATTAGGTGCAGTAGGTGTGCTTTCTGTTACCGACTTTCAACACCCAGCTCTTAATGTCCTTCCACAATATTTCACATGATTCATTAATTTACGATCATTGGCCGCAGAAATCTCTTACGAGCCGAAGTTGAAAGGTCACGTGTCAAAGTAGGAAAGGGGGGGAACTCAAGAAACGGCTCTTCATATCAGACTCATGGTAGCTGTTCAAGTAGAAACACCAGCTGAGTTTATGTATTATTGCAATAGTGGCGGCCATTTTTTATTGCATTCCTCCATAGAGAGTGTATGTGCATTTTCTGATATATAGGAAACGTTTGTGTGGCCACCCTCACACTGTATGTTGTGCTGTAGAAAGTTAATTTGTTTTTTGTTTTATGCAAGAACGTGGCGCCATCTATGAATGTAGTTAACGTTAACTTGCATCAAAGATAATAAATGCTCAATAATAGCAATAATGGGGTGGAGGGGATTGTGAACCCCCAATAACATGCATCTTGTTCCAAACTTTTATCCCACAAAGTGTGGTTGAGGTTGGCCCAGCAACCTAGGAATAGTTAGATAACGGACAGACAAACACACAGATTTTGGGGCTTTTTATATATACACAATTTGTTGTTGGAACAAGTTTGATTTACATTAGCCTTTACTTGTTTTCGTATCGATTTTTAATGCTACACCATTCATTCGTACGTTTCTCATGCCTAATTGAAACGGTATTTATCTTCAAGTTTACATCATTCGTTTATTGTAGTTTGAGAGAAGATAAACGAAGGAATTACATTACTTGATATCCCTGTGTTATTTTTAGAATATATGACCGCAAATAAAACTATCTCTGATACCGTAACGAAGTATTAAAGCGAATATTTGAGAGCATTTTATACAATTACTAATCATGGAAACTCGGTAAATTTAATTAGAAAACAGTACACTTTGAATCATGGAAAACTATAACTTACGACATTTAAAGTGGAGAAATGTATGCCTATTGTAAAATCGCTCATATCAACGTTTTCCGTAAGTGTTATATTCTATACTTTAATATAAACCCATTAAATAAATAAAACTTAGTGCCTTTTGCTGTTGCTCGTATGTGGATGTAGATTTAATACTAATTACAAGTAGGGTTTTATTTTCTATTATTACAGTGACGGAAGGCCAGGACATCAACTAGTAACTGAACGGTTCGAAATCCACTGGGGAACTTACCTGGCCAGTAAGAAGAACTTTATTTACGCCACGATTGATGGAAGAGGCAGTGGCAACCGTGGCGACGAAATACTCCATAAAATATATAAGAAGCTGGGAAGCGTTGAGATAGAAGATCAGATAGCTGTCTCCAGGTTTGTGTGTAATAGTTTTCGTAATGACAGGGACCAACAGTATATTCAAGCACAGTTTCCAATCAAGTTATGGAATCGAATTTACTGCCACCTGTTGCTCAATCCAGTTATAGTCAGAATATGTAGTTGTTTCAGGCCTGTGGATGCTGGATGTCAGTATTTCTCCAATTTTGAACAGACCACGTTATCCAAGTAAATAAGTTGTGTAATATTCCAGTTTTGGTCGTATAATATATTTCAGGTTTTCGGGCTAAGTCCGACAAGAACAAGAATCAACCAAGACCAGTCCATAGTTACCACACGGCTGAGAAAACTCGTAAGAAGTACCTTCCTGTCGGTGAAGACTGATTATAGCAGTGGAGAAACTACATCTATCATACGATATATAGTTGATAACTACGAAAACTACAGCATTTGTTGTAATGTTCTGAAAAACATACACACTCAACAAACGAGTTTTAACCACAGATGGGGCTGAAAACACCGTAATAATAGAAGTCCGAACCAACTCCCATACAGTTGTTCTCAAAATAGTATGTGTTTAATGTTAGTGTTAGGCTGGATTCTGATAAGAATAATGATGTTTTTTCTATAGTGGACATTTAGTTTGGGTAAATATCCAACAACCATAAAGTCAAGGACTTGAAACAGATACGTCTTTTCAGTAGTAAATATGCATTAGCGGAGACTAAGTTACAGGAGTGTTCCACTAATAATATACCTTAGCAGGGACTAAGTTACAGGAGTGTTCCACTAATAATATACCTTAGTAGGGACTAAGTTACAGGAGTGTTCCACTAATAATATACCTTAGTAGGGACTAAGTTACAGGAGTGTTCCACTAATAATATACCTTAGTAGGGACTAAGTTACAGGAGTGTTCCACTAATAATATACCTTAATAGGGACTGAGTTACAGGAGTGTTCCACTAATAATATAACATACGTTGGTAGATACAATGTTTCAATAACGTTCCTCTAATAATATACCTTAGTAGGGACTAAGTTACAGGAGTGTTCCACTAATAATATAACATACGTTGGTAGATACTAGGTTTCAATAATGTTAGATTAATCATATAATATACGTTGATAGGAACTGGGTTTCAGTAACAATACATCTTGGATCTGCTTTTTTTAGAAGTTAGGATGTATTTAACACTCAATTCAGTCAGTTTGTTTGTTTGTTAAGTACAAAGCTACACAATGCACTATGTGTGCTGTGTCCACAACGGGTATCGAAACCCGCTTTTTAGCGTCATAAGTCACGAGACTTGCCGCTGAGCCACTGAAAGGCAGTTTCAGTCAAAATACAATCCTCAAGAGTTACTGAGTTACAAGGTTATTCAAACCAGAATACAGTACCCTGATTACAAGATTATTGGGTTCCATAGTGATTCCAACCAGTATACAGTACCCTGATTACAAGATTATTGGGTTCCATAGTGATTCCAACCAGAATACAGTACCCTGATTACAAGATTATTGGGTTCCATAGTGATTCCAACCAGTATACAGTACCCTGATTACAAGATTATTGGGTTCCATAGTGATTCCAACCAGTATACAGTACCCTGATTACAAGATTATTGGGTTCCATAGTGATTCCAACCGGTATACAGCACCCTGATTACAAGATTATTGGGTTCCATAGTGATTCCAACCAGAATACAGTACCCTGATTACAAGATTATTTGGCTCCATTGTGATTCCAACCAGTATACAGCACCCTGGTTACAAAGTTATTGGATCCGTTAATTATTTTAGTCGATAAATTAGTGAGTAATTAGCTTCGTTGATAATCACATTGTGATATGTTTTAGGATGAATTATTTGAGTACTATATCTTTGGTTAATATTTTTTTAAGAGTAACAAGGCTAGATGGCGTGAGGTCGAACAAAGTTGTACTGAGAATAATGACCTTATGTTTATCGTATTTTCAGCAATCCCTTCCAGACACATTTCTTTACATCAGCATGTTTAGAAATTTAAATACTAAAACTTTCCATAAAATTCTCTCTGCTGGTTTTCTTTCTTTTACCTAAACGCTTTTCAGGAAATATAAGGCAAATACTGCAAAACAAAACAAGTTGACGAGGATCATGTCCCACTGGTCTTAAACAACACAACTGATCTTGAACAATCTTTGTATTAAAATTCATTCTCAGGTTTTTTTAATAAATGAAATACGCACGTTGCCCTGGCTTTGTTAAAAAAAAGAACAGACATCTTTAGCTGGTCATGAATATAGTTGTAAAATACTATTCAGAAACAAATTCAGTGTAATTTTTGTAATACCTTTACTTATAATACCAATATCACTGGACAAAAATTACGTATAACACAATATTATTCCAAAAACACTATATTTGTCATACCCATTGCTGACGACGCGTTTCGCTCAACCCAGAGATCATCAGGCCGCCTGGGACTCAACCAGCACAGTACTGGTCGGAATACTATTTATATAAGCCATTTCCTACTTCAACAATTTTTATGGTGTGAACGCCTATTTTAAGTTAGCAAAACATTATTATAGTTAATTATACTTGTCATAAAACATTAGTATCAGGCCTATTATATTTTCAACACTGCATTCTTTATTTAGTTCCTTAGGGATTTTCAAAAATTAGAAGAATGTATAATAATATTATTTCAACCACTCTATATTCGCCGTATCTATTGCCGACGACGTGTTTCGCTCAATCCAGAGATCATCAGACCGGCTGGGACACAACAAGGACAATAGTGATCGGAGCATTTGCTACATCAACAGTTCTCATGGTGTGCAAATCCCTAAGGGATTACATATAGAATACAGTGTTAAGAAATATGATAGGCTTAATACTAATATGTAATGACAAGTAACTTAATTATAATTGTGCTTCGCCATCTTGAGAAAGGCATTCACACCATAAAAATTTCATATATGTCATAATGAGTTGAATCTATAAGTCCGGATGAAATGAACATATGATGAAAGCTAAATCATTCTGCTTGCATCATGTTTTCGCCTTCAACCATGTGAACATTATAATATTATAGTTAATCCCTCTTTTTGTTACTAAAGAGTAGTTCAAGAGTTGGCAGTGGGTGATGTTTACTGCCTTCCCTCTAATATATAACTTAAAAATTAGGGACAAGTAACCGTCGAGTAACTTTCCGCAAAATACAACAAACAAATGAAATGTAATATTTTCTAAACTATCATAATATTAAATTATTATATTTCCACTTAATTAATTCATGATAGCATTTTGATAATTCTTAAATAACATTAAGTAGAATTGGGTTGTTGTTAAATGATTTTCTTTTCATCCAGATACCTAAAGAATGACTTACCATTTATCGATCCTGAAAAGATCGCCATCTGGGGCTGGTCGTACGGAGGCTATGCAGCAGCGATGGCTTTAGCCACAGACACTGATGTTTTCGAATGTGGAATATCAGTTGCCCCTATAACCAGCTGGCGATATTATGGTAACATTTTGTAACAGTGTTTATTTAATGTAATTAAAATGACTTTTATTTTTAAAGTGTATTTTCTCTTCTAGCCACTTTTTCAGCTCTTTCTTACTTGTTATCATTTCGAGATTTTAAAATGGCTTCTCTTATCATCTTAACACAACCCAACACTAAGTTATACAAATAAAAATTCTATCTATTGATTTTTGAGAAGGTCTAGCTATTTCTCCTTTCTTAGACAATTACGTGTATTGAACCTGGATGAGATCACGCACGACTTAAAGTCGAGTTACATAACCAAACTCACATGCTGTTCTTGTGACACGTATATGCTGAATAATTCTTGGTTGTAAAAAAGTTTTAACCCCTTCTCGATCCCAAGCCAGTTACCTTTACATGTTTGACGAGATCAAGCATGACTTAACGTTTATCGAAATATCTTATCAAACTTATATACTTTTGTTGTAGTAAGTGTTGAATAATGTTTGTTCTTATATACGCTCTTCCCGCCAACCATCGCGTTGGTTGTTTCAAGACTTATCCTGATCGATTTTTCTTTTCACTTCTTTTCCATTACTAATATTTTTATATAAACGTTTTCACTCGATTTGATTGAATGAGTGCTCTCTAATCGAATACTATAATCAACTTATCTATGTGCTGCTAATAGTTTTTTTTTTTTGTTCTCTTCGTTATTGTATAATTATAATAATTCATCAACCTTCAAATGAATGCAGATAGTTCATATACATTTTCCATTAATATATTTTTTAATTTTCTAGTGCTTGCAGTAACGTTCAAGTTTTCTCTTGATATTGCCAGGATTAGCGATTTTTTTCATTTATCGGAATCTTTACACTGAATTCTCCGATTTCGTTTTTTATCAAAAGCTTGTTTTAATAAGATAATTTCGATGTCCTAAAATTATGTTTACCTCAATTTTTCCAAAAAACTTTGTTTAAAATTATGTAATGATTATGAACTGATTCAAAATCATGTAATAACAAATTTAGTCATTGTTAATAATAACTAAGAATTGTTTAGCGTTACAAGTACGAAAAAATTATGAAGAAACAAAGTATTCGCTAAATATTATATTTTTTTCATAAGCGCAGGAAGTGGAGCATATACTTAGTTGGAGCTATCGTGTGAGTTTGGTTTGGTTTTAGGCCTAAACTTGTTAAC